CAGCCTGGACAACATGGTGAAACCCTATCTCTATCAAAAAAAAAAAAGAAAAAGAAAAAGAAAAAGAAAAATTAGCCGGATGTGGTGGCGTGTGCTTGTAGTCCCAGCTACTCGGGAGGCTGAGGTTGGGGGAATCATTTGAGCCTGGGAGGTTGAGGCTGCAGTGAGCCATAATCATGACACTACACTTCAGCCTGGGCAACAGAGTGAGACCCTATCTCAAAAAAAAACAAAAAAATTCTCAAAACTCAACAGTAATAAAATAAACAACCCAATTAAAAATGAGTAGGCTGGGCATGGTGGCTCATGCCTGTAATCCCAGCACTTTGGGAAGCCAAGGTGGGCAGATCACCTGAGGTCAGGAGTTTGAGACCAGCCTGGTCAACACAGTGAAACCCTGTCTCTACCAAAATACAAAAATTAGCCAGGCCTGGTGGTGCATGCCAATAGTCCCAGCTACTCAGGAAGCGAAGGCAGGAGAATTGCTTGAACCTGGGAGGCAGAGGCTGCAGTGAGCCGAGATAGTACCACTGTACTTGCACTCCAGCCATGTATACCATGTTTAAGAAAGCACACCCAAAAAGCCCAGAACACTCAAAACCAAGATATTTTCTCGGAAAACTGTTGGTCTCTTTTTTTTCTTCAACTGTTCAAATTTCTATTAAGTTGTTGGTTTTCTTTTTTAAAAAGCTCTTTGTATATTAAAGCTACTAGCCCGGCCAGGCGCAGTGGCTCACGCCTGTAATCCCAGCACTTTGGGAGGCCGAGGTGGGGAGATCATGAGGTCAGGAGATCGAGACCATCCTGGCTAACATGGTGAAACCCTGTCTCTACTAAAAATACAAAAAATTAGCTGGGCATGGTGGCGGGTGCCTGTAGTCCCAGCTGCTTGGGAGGCTGAGGCAGGAGAATGGCATGAACCCAGAGGGCAGAGCCTGTAGTGAGCCAAGATCATGCCACTGCACTCCAGCCTGGGTGACAGAGCAAGACTCCGTCTCGGGGGGAAAAAAAAAAAGCTATTAGCCCTTTATAATTTAAGTTGATTTTTTGGTAATTTGTCACTTTGTGCTTTACTTTTCCTGTATGTGTGTGTGTGTGTACATGCAAAAAGTTTTTTTAAATTAGTCAAATTTATCAATCCTTTCTTTTCTTTCTTCTAGATTTTTGGATCCTAGGAAGATTTCCTGCACATCTAGGTTATGAGAGTATTTACTCATATTTTCGTCTGGTACTTGTCTGTTTAGATTTCTGATCCATTTGAAATTTATCCTGGTAAACAGTATGAGAAACAGACTCAATTTTATATTTTTTCAAATGGCTATTCAGTTGTCACAATTCTATGTATATAAAAATTCAATTCCCCATGCACACTCACCAATTAAAATTTATTAACGTACTTGGTTCTATTTCTAGACTTGATTCTGTTTCATTGGTCTACATGTTTATGCACCAATACCACACTTTAAATTACAGATGTTTTATAATATATTTTAATATTGGATGGGGCTAACACCCCACTCCACATGGCACTAAAATGTTTTCAAATGAAAACTTTTATTTAAGTAGAATTAAGATTACTCAAGCATGATGCCACATACCTGTAATCCCAGCTACTCGGAAGGCTGAGGCAGGAAGATCATTTGAGGTCAGGAATTTGAGACCGGTCAGGAATTTGAGACCAGCCTGGGCAACATAGTGAGAACTTGTCTCTTAAAAAAATATAAAAAATTAGGGCTGGGTGTGGTGGCTCATGCCTGTAATCCCAGCACTTTGGGAGGCCGAGGCAGGTGGATCATGAGATCAAGAGTTCAAGACCAGCCTGGCCAACATGGTGAAATCCCATCTCTACTAAGCATACAAAGATTAGCCAGGTGTAGCGGCGAATGCCTGTAATCCCAGCTACTTGGGAGGCTGACGCAGGAGAACTGCTTGAACCCAGGGGGTGGAGATTGCAGTGAGCCAAGATGGCGCCATTGCCCTCCAGCCTGGGTGACAGAGCAATACTCCGTCTGGGGAAAAAAAAAAAAAAATAGCCGGGCAAGGTAGAGGAGGCTGAGGCAGAAGGATCCCTTGAGTTCAGAAATTCTAGGCTGTAGCAGGTTATGATTGTGCCACTAAACTCTAGCCTAGGCAGCAGAGGGAGACACCCATCTCTTAAAAACAATTATATTTAAGAAAAGTATTTATGGAATAGTTTGATTTGTAACCTGAGCTAATCACTTTGTTCATGGAATACTGTTTTTACTTGAAAGAACATCTAACATACACACAATTCACACTTGGGTATTTGGTAGGCATTTTCTCAAAAAAAACAAAATGGCCTTGTCACTTCAAGGAAAACCAGTGACAGTATTTGTTGCCAATGATAACATTCAAGGTTTCAGATAAAAATTAGAATTTTGGAAAACTTGTACCTGCAATTGTGAGCTTGACAGCTTCCCAAGACTCAAATACTCACCTGATGAGATATTAACAAAAGTGATTTTTTTATATTGTATAATGAATGGTGTCAATATTTAATCTTCTATAACAAAATGCACCAATGTGTATAACTCAGTGAACCAAAATTTTTCAGATGACTAGTTTGGTCTAAATGTATGATGTTACAAAATCGTGCATGGGCAAAAGATCCATTTAAAGTGCAAAACAGACCAACTCATTTTAATGTAACAGGCTATAAAAAGTTCATTGATATGGTTTCGGATCCCACTTTGCAATCAACTTTTAACTCAGACTTCCTGAATTTTGATGTGATATCAAAGAGAAATGTTCACAATTATCTGAAAAGGCCATTTAAATACCATTCTCTTTCCCTACATATTTGAGTGAATCCAAATGTTCTTCACACACTCCAACCAAAACAGCGTACTGCAAAAGTTAAAGCAGAAGCAAATATAGGACTCCACCAGCTTTCTATGTAGCTACATAGTAAGAGATTACAAAAATGTAAAAACAATGCCACTCTTTTCACTAAATTTTTCTTGTTTTGGAAAATACATTTTCCATAGATTATTTATATTAACATCGTGGCCGGGCGTGGTGGCTCACACCTGCAATCCCAGCACTTTGGGAGGCCAAGGCGGGTGGATCACGATGTCAGGAATTCCAGAGCAGCCTGGCCAACACGGTGAAACCCTGTCTCTATTAAAAATACAGAAAAGTAGCTGGGCCTAATGGCAGGTGCCTGTAATCCCAGTTAATCCGGAGGCTGAGACGGGAGAATCGCTTGAACACAGCAGGCGGAGGTTGCAGTGAGCCGAGATGGGCGCTACTGCACTCCAGCCCTGGCGACAGAGTGAGACTCCGTCTCAAAAAACAACAACCAACAAACAAACAAACATACATTTAATGGGTTTATTATTGTTTTCAAATGAATTAATAAATATTTTAAAAATTCTCTTTTAATTGCTAATCTGGTAAATATTGGTAGATGCAATTTACATTAACAAAAGCTCTTTGGAGGGTCTTCAATAATTTTGTAAAGGAAGCCTGCAACCAAAAAGTTTGAGAACTACTACTCTAAGTGGATTCCTCAGGAAAAGCTCATTTGCATGCTTTTTGCCAGTGGCCTTTACACCTGAACACAATATAAGGGAATATAAATTTATTGGATCATAATTTCCGTAAAAATCTGGAAAACGTTGTTTCATTGCTATCTAGAATGCTTCTGTGGAGACATCTGATGCCAATCTTATTCTCTCTCTCTCTCTTTTTTTTTGTTTTTTGTTTTGTTTGTTATTGCTTTGTCTAGTTTGAGGCAGTGTCTTGCTCTCTCGAACCAGGCTGGATGCAGTGCGTGAACACAGCCACTGCGGCCTCGACCCCCTGGGATAAGTGATACACCTCTCAGCCTCCCTAAGAGCTGGGACTACAGCACCTGCCACCCACACTGGCTAATTTTTTTTTTCTTTTTTTAAACGACGCCTCTCTCTGCTCCCAGGCTGGAGTGCAGATGGCGCCGGACTCGGCTACACCTGAAACTCCACCTATCCGGGTTCAACGATCTGCCGCTCCAGCCTCCTCCAGTAGCTGATTACCAGTGCGTGCCATCCACCTCGACTAATTTTGTATTTTCAGTGAATGGGTTTCGCATGTTGGATAGCGCTGGTTTGTAACTCCTGACCCTCTAATGATCCCCTGCCCTCTCGGCCTCCCAAGTGCGGGATTACAGATGTGAGCCACCCACTTTCAAATTGAAAAAGTTTGACCTTTCTTTTTTTTTTTTTTTTTGTTTTGAGATGGATCCTCGCTCTGCCGCCCATTCTAGAGTGCAGTGCGCGCATCTCGCACAACTGCAAACTCCGCCCCGGGGTTCACTGCCATTCTCCTCTCAGCCCCGGTTACCGCACTACAGCGCCGCCACCTCCCCGGCTAATTTTTTTTTGTAATCTTAGAAGAACGGCGTTTCACCGTTTAGCCAAGATGGTCTCGATCTCCTGACCTCGTGATCCGCCCGCCTCGGCCTCCCAAAGTGCTGGGGTAACAGGCGTGAGCCACCGCGCCCAGCCAAGTTTGACATTTTTTTAACTGAAATTTGTTAGTTCTCAATTAATATCACATTGTTCTTTGTCCACATCATTTTAAAATTTTCCTATTTCTGATTTTACGCTATTCTTTCAAAGCACCCATTATTTTCATTTCATTTTAGAATATTAGGCAAAAGTTTTCGCCCACTTTATGACCACATTTTATATTGCGTTCTCATCGTTTATTGGAACATTAATTAGGCTTTATTTTCACCTTTTTGTTTCCACAGTAACATGTATGGGATTAGGTTACAGTGTTTGTTTGTCCCCAATCTTTTAAGCGAGGTGAATTTTCCTCGGCTGCTAGGAAAAGTTCCTACACCCCTCTCCCGCCACCGCGAGCCGCTCCTCGCCCTGTGAACGCCTCTGCCGGCCCCGCCCACGTCCCGCGAACGCCACGGAGCCACGTCCACTCTTTTAGCATAGCGCCAGGCCCCGCCCACATCTCACACACCACCCCGGCTGCGCTTAGCCTCTTGCCTCACCCGGTGCCAAGCCAGCTGTTTATTTTCCCGCCATTTCCAGCTCTTCGTGAGGAGAAGCGGATGATTTCCTGAGATCTGAGGCCTTCTGGAATCACAGCGGCCAAGCGGGTAGGGAGTGTAGCCAGAAAAAGAACTGGTAAGTTTGAGACGGCTGAGGCCACATCGCCTCTGGAAAGCAGGCGAGTTTTGCCCTCGGGATCGCCTTAATCACTCTGTTCACTGCCTTTTTTATGTTGGATTCATCTTGTCAGTTCAGGTTATGACATTGTTGCCGCCCTTAAACAAACCTGGGCATATAGAACGGGGCCTTTTCAGTGGTTTTTAAAGACTCACTTGGTGATGAAAGTTAGTGTATCAGGAGCAAACAAATAGGACAACGAAGCTCGTGGCACTGTGAGATGCGTTTGCGTTGAGCTGTTTATTCAGTACTTTTTTTTTAATCGTAAATCTTACGAAGTTTGTATCCCTCCGCGGTTACACACACACACGTCCTACGAAAAGGCCGGGTGCAGTGGCTCCCGCCTGTAATCCCAGCACTTTGGGGAGGCCGAGGTGGGAGGATCGCTTGAGTCCGGGAGTTCCAGACCAGCCTGGTTAACACAGAGAGGCCTTGTCTCTACGAAAAATAAAAATAAAAATAAAAATAGAAAATAGCCAGGCGTGGTGGTGCTCCTGTAGTCCCAGCTACTCCAGAGGCTGAGGAGGAAAGATTGCTTGAGCCCAGGAGTTCCAGGCTGCAGCGAGCCCTGATCTGCCTCTGCACTCCAGCCTGGAGACAGAGTCAGACCCTGTCTCAAAATAATAATAATTATCCCACACACACAAAACAAACCTTACAAAGTCATATTTACTCAGGTATTTAACAAAGTATATGAAATTGGTATTGGCAGAAAATACAGGATATATGGTTACCATGTCTAACACAAAAGCTATTTAATGTGGGAGCAAGAACTTTACGTAGGGAATCAGGAAACCAATAATTAAAGATGGTACTTTTGGCAAGTCATTTAATTTCGCTGAATATCAGGTATCTCTTTTGAAAAATGGGAATGAACAAAACGTTAAGTGATTTTTCAAAGCCCATTTCAGATCTATGATTCTGAGTTTCTTTTTTTTGAGACGGACTCACTCTGTCGCCCAGGCTGGAGTGCAGTGGCACGATCTTGGCTCACTGCAACCTCCTGGGTTCAAGCAATTATCCTGCCTCAGCCTCCCAACTAGCTGGGAGTACAGGCGTGCACCACCACGCTCAGCTAATTTTTTTATTTTTAGTAGAGACGGGGTTTTGCCATGTTGGCCAGGCTGGTCTTGAAACATCTGACCTCAGGTGATCCACGTGCCTCGGCCTCCCAAAGTGTTGGGATTACAGGCGTGAGCCACCACACCTGGCCTGATTCTGAGTTTCTATAGAGTAGAAGGAAAGTATATAAACTGAGACCATACTATCATTTATCAGCCCTATTTTCCTTAGATAAAATGTGTCCCAAGTGGCTAATATGTGATCTTCTCTTTCTGGTTCACTACCTTCTCTTGGCTCTACTCTCACCGTATCACAGGAAATAATTAAAAAAGAAATGGATAATTCGTTTTTTGTTTTTATATTTTTAAGATTGTATTTTCTTTTTTCTTTTCTTTTTTTTTTTTTTTTGAAACGGAGTCTAGCTCTGTTGCAGGCTGGAGTGCAATGGCGCCATCTCAGCTCACTGCAACCTCTGCCTCCCATGTTCAAGTGATTCTCCTGCCTCAGCCTCCTGATTAGCTGGGATTACAGGCACCTGCCACCACGCCCAGCTAATTTTTATATTTTTAAAATGTAGAGATGGGGTTTCACCATGTTGGCCAGGCTGGTCTTAAACTCTTGACTTCAGGTGATCCACCTGCCTTGACCTCCCAAAGTGCTGGGATTACAGGCGTGAGCCACTGTGCTTGACCAGGATTGTATTTTCTAATTACAAATTGGCACATGTATTAATCCAGAAAACCTGGGGAAAAGAAGTAAAGGAAAACACACACACACACACACACACACACTCTCTCTCATAACCTTGCCACTCAAAAAAAAAAAATCTCACCACTGTCCATTACTTTTCTAAATGTGTGTTTATATGTATATATATGTATATGTATATATATCCACATTTATATATAAAATGTTATAACAGTCTGCTGTTATAAAAAGCAGTCTGCTTTTTTTCCACTTTATATGTACATGTACTTCTTCACAACCAATTGGAATACCCACAATGATATGCCGCATCCCAAAAAGCTATCAGAAGCTAAGCAAGCGTAGTTACATAGATTTTGGAACAGCTACAATTATGTTATGCCCTAGGCTATTCTTACTGTTTCTCTTTATCTGCTCCAGAATGGATTGGTTTCATTGCAACCAGTGCTTCCGAAAAGATGGAGCCCATTTCTTTGTCACCAGCTGCGGTCATATTTTCTGTAAAACGTGTGTGACTCTGGGTGAGTGATTCAACTGTTTTCAGATTCAGGGAAAAATGTTTTAATGTAAGGATGTAAGGAGTAGCCATTTCTATGTGTGTCTTAGGATAAAAATCACTTATTAGGTCAATGGTGATACAGATACTGTAGGAAACTGTCAATTTTAGAAATTGAAGGAATCCATTAATAAAGAATGGTGCTAAATTATTTAGCAAATGATTTAGCAAATCTATTACTTGAGGACCAGAGTGTACTCATTAGTGTTTTGAAGTCTGGCAGGGAAAGCCACAAGGCATCGGACTCTTCAGGGAAAAGAGATAGAATAAGTATAATGGATGGGAATAGAGGAAAGTTTGGCTGATAGAAGAGCCATTTCTAAAGGGGAAGTGGTCTAGTATATGACATCAATTTGATTAGAAATGATGATGATGATACCTTTGCAGCTTAAAAAGCAGTTTCATATCAACCAATTTTATGTAAGCCGCGCCACATGCCCCAGTGGTAATTATTAGTAGAACCGTTTTACAAATGAAGAGACTGGCTCAGAGAGGATAAGTGATTTGACCAAGTTCTTATTGCTATTAAGTCTTAGAAAGGATACGTAAATTTAAGTTTTCTTTCTTTCTTTCTTTCTTTCTTTCTTTCTTTCTTTCTTTCTTTCTTTCTTTAATGCTGCAATACTTACAAGGTGTGTAAATCCCTAGAAGAGGGACTTGGGGTAGGGTGTTTTGATCATAGAAGACATCACAGAAGGAGTGATGCTTCAATAGAGTTTTGAATGATAAAATGGAATTTACCAAGTGGATAAGGCAGGGAAGATTTATTCTAGTTTAAGAGAACAGCATGTACAAAGACGTATTACATCATAAAACCATAGTGCAGGGGACTACACATAATTGGGATTGTTAGAGTATAAACAGTAAGGTAAGACATGGTGACAGATGAGGCTAGTGAAGTAGGGAGTGTCGGATGATGGAAGGCTCTATGCACTGGGCTAAAGAGCCTGAACTTCATCCTGCAGGTGATGGAGACTTGTGGAAGTTTTTGTTTTGTTTTGTTTTTGACACAGTCTCACTTCGTCACCAAGGCTGTAGTGCAATGGTGCAATCTTGGCTCACTGCAACCTCTGCTTCCCAGGTTCAAGCAATTCTCATGTCTCAGCCACTTGAGTAGCTGAAATTATAGGCATGCACCACGATGTCGGGCTAACTATTGTATTTTTAGTAGAGATGGGGTTTCACCATGTTGGCCAGGCTGATCTTGAACTCCCAGCCTCAAGTGATCCACCTGCCTCAGCCTCCTAAAGTGCTGGGATTACAGGTGTGAGCCATTTTTTGTTTTGTTTTGTTTTGTTTTAAGAGAAGAATGTTATGTACTTGCTAGCTCACTCTGGCAACGATATGGACTGGGAAAAAGAAAAACCTTTAGTCCCCAGAAAAAGAACAGTCAAGTAGCCTCAGGGGAAGCTTTTTTCTCTGTACAAATCTCATGACCTTTTAAAGTTGTCACTAATGTAAAAAGCTGTTTACTATGGTAACAGCAGCTCACTTTGGAGTGGTTTGTCTCCATAAAGTATATGCCATGTGATGTTTTCTGCTGACATGGCATTTGTCTTAATCAATGACCAGTCCCACTACTAAAATTTCACTTTACAGCGAAAGATTAGGAATCTTAATTTTTGCTTCTTTCAGATTGGGTTGATTGGGGAATGAGAGTAGCAGAGCTTCAAAGCAAGATTAACAAATATTAGCAAAGTGATGACAAGGTAGGCATAATTGGGGAGTTTCTTACAGTACCCAATGTGTGCCTGCTGTCAGGTCAATAGAATACAAAAGAGTAACTTAAAGATCTTTGGTATCTTGTACTTTTCCCTACTCTTGTAAACGTACTGCAGTACTTCTGCTGGGAGTTTAGAATTGTCCTTTCTGTTCCACAGAAGAAAACTGGGAATTTATAAAAAGATGGGGCAGGAGGTGCTGGGATGGTGGCTCATGCTTATAAACTTACCACTTTGCGGGGGCCACGGTGGGAGGATCACTTGAGCCCAGGAGTTCAAGACCAGCTTGAGCAACATATGGAGACTCCATCTCTAAAGATAATAACAAAATTAAAATGAGCTGAGGTGGTGATGTACGCCTGTAGTCCCAGCTAGCTGGAAGACTGAAGCAGGAGGATCACTTGAGCCTGGGAGGTTGAGGCTGCAGTGAGCCATAATTGTGCCACTGCATTCCAGCCTGGGTGACAGAGTGAGACCCTGTCTCAAAAAAAACATAAAATAAAAATTTAAAAGATAGGGAGATGGGTAGAGGTACAGTGTGAAAGCCCTACTTATACCTCAACATACTAGTTTGGAAACACTTACTTAGAGAACAGACCTTAAGTTGGTGTCCTTTTATAACACAATGATATTCTAAATTCAGTAAGAACCCTTTTTTTCTTCTATTGCTAGCATACTAGATTGTTGCCATGTACTTTAAGTCTTTAAATCTTACCTCGTGCTCATGAGAGCCAAACATTTTTTTTCCCTTTTCCTTCCAGAAAAATGTGCTGTTTGTGGAACTGCCTGCAAGCATCTGGCTCTTTCTGATAATGTAAGTTTTTCTCCCCCTGCCACAAACGGTCTCATCCCATTTCTGGCCTGTAGGAAGTATATACAAAGTACAGATGATGAATTGTTTTAAAAAGAAAGAGAAGACCGGGCGTGGTGGCTCACACCTGTAATCCCAGCATTTTGGGAGGTCAAGGCGGGTGGATCGCCTGAGCTCAGGAATTTGAGACCACCCTGGGCAACATAGTAAAACTCTGTCTCTACTAAAATATAAAAAATTAGACAGGCTTGGTGGTGCGGGCCTGTAGTCCCAGCTACTTGGGAGGCTGAAGCACGAGAATCACTTGAGCCTGGGAGGCGGAAGTTGCAGTGAGCCAAGATCGCACCACTACACTCCAGCTTGGGAGTAAGACTCTGTCTAAAAAAAAAAAAGAAAAGAAGAAGAAAAAGAAAGCAAAGAAACAAACTTCCAAATAGCCATTTGTAAAAAGAGTGTAAATAATAGGCCAGCTGAAGAGGCTCGCACCTGTAATCCCAGCACTTTGGGAGGCTGAGGTGGATAGATCACCTGAGATCAGAAGTTTGAGACCAGCCTGGCCAACATGATGAAACCCCCATCTCTACTAAAAATACAAAAATTAGCTGGGTGTGTTGGTGGGCACCTGTAATCCCAGCTACTCAGGAGGCTGAGGCAAAAGAATCACTTGAACCCAAGAGGCGAGGGTTGCAATGAGCCTAGATCACACCACTGCACTCCAGCCTGGGTGACAACAGCAAAACTCTGTCTCAAAGAAAAAAAAAAAAGAATATAAACAACAGATGGAAGCATTATTTGTGATCACTGTTACAGATGCACAAGGTAAGGAGAATTGGACATATAATGTACATCTAGAACAGTGGTGATCTCCCTTTTATACAGAGTGGAGATAATGCCAGGTACATTAGAAAAGGTGGTACATCCTTTGTCATATTAGTCAGTATTTTATTTTATTCAATTGTGGATATTCTCACAGTGTGTATTGCTCTCTTTATAGCTGAAGCCTCAGGAGAAGATGTTTTTCAAAAGTCCTGTGGAGACAGCTTTGCAGTATTTTAGTCACATCTCTCAGGTATGAGAAACAAAAGTGAAGAAAATCTGATTCTCCAGGCAAATTCTAATTGCATCTTATTTCTTTATCAAAGGTTTTCTTTAAACTGCATTTGTACACAATGGAGGGAAATTAACTGCTTTCTTTGCTTTCTTCCTTGATGATACAAATTTCAATCAGTTAACTTTTTATTGACCCAGAATCTGTGATAGGCTGTAAAAATCACTATGTAGCTAACATCTTGCCTTGTATTTCCTCGTTGTATTAATTAATTTCTAAGACTAAAGGTTGTTCTAGGGAGCTTTATCATTTTTCTCAGCAGATAGATGCATCTTCTAAAAATTGCTTTGAGTATATAGGCCTGGCCCTGCAAACAATGGGTGTGATGGTTTAACTCGCAACCAGTAACTTATAGCACTAAGATCATGAGACTACTTCTTGTTTCCCATTCTTACTTTTCAATAACCTTTTTAGTAATACTTAACTCTTCATTTAGTGTTAATAACTGGTTTCTTGAATTTTAGGAAATATTTGTCTTTTCTTGATGTGTCATATGTTGGCATACAATTGACTTGGTCAGGAGCAACAGGAATGTAGAAGAAGGTAGAGAGAAGGCAGGACAACCATTTGAGAGAATTCCCTAGTTGTAAAAACTTTGATTTTTTTCTTTCTACTCCCCAGTTATCTTAGATCATGCTACAGCCTCATGGAATTCCTATTGTGGCATATTTCTTGAGATTTGTATCACTCTTCCCTTTCTATACTCTTACTTCTTATTCTTTTGAAAGTACCCCTTTTCTAAACCTCAAGATGATCCTTAGTCATTTTCTGGTTGAAGATTTATTTTTCAGTGTCCTGCCTCTCAATCCTCACTCTAGAGATAGAGTAAGGGGAATTAAGGCTTGCTGCTTGCTGTCTTTAGCTGCTGGGTTGAGCCATCATATTTGACATACACTATATTTAACATTATAAGTATATTAAAATCCAGCTGAGACTCAAGGAGAAATGTAAACAAGGTCATAGGAACAAGAGAAAGAGCAGACCTTTGGTTAATAAATAAACCTAGGCATAGTTAATGATCAGTAGAGAAATCATATGTAGTCTGAATCCTAACCTGCCTGATCATGGGACCAATTACACATGGTCAAACAATCAAGATAAAAGAAATGGAAAGGGTCAGTTAATCATCACTGTAGTGAAGGGTCAATTTAGTGAAGTCAGCAAAGTCTAAAAATGTGTTTTCCTAATTTGTGAAGCTGAATAACTGATCCAGTACCTAGACTGTTTCATTCAGGCTTCTGCTCAAAACATTCTTCTTCAGTCAGTCCTTTAGTGACTCTCATATTTCAAATAGTAGCCCCAGCATTTTCTACTCCTTACCATGCTTTTTTTTCATCATAGTTCTTTTCTCTAACATTATGTTATATATTTGTTGTCTGAATCCTGCACTGGAATATAAGCTCCATGAAAACAGATTTGGTTGTTTTGTTTATTGTTCTCTTTTAATAGTCTTTAATAAGTAGTGGACACTCAAAATGTTGTCATTGAATGAATGATGGAATGTTGCTCTAAATATCTATTTATGTTCCAATTTTAGTATTTATGTTCTTACGTTCTCCAATCTCTACAATGACTTAAGGCCATTTCTTCTGCTGCACTTTGTGCTAATAGTTGATCAAACTGCCTGTTTTGAATCCTTTACCCACCTCAAGATAATCTTTCTGAGGGATCGGAGAACCTCATGTAGATCTGTAAGTTTTCTTTTCTTTTCTTTCTTTCTTTTTTTTTTTTTGAGTTGGAGTCTTGCTTTTGTCGCCCAGGCTGGAGTGCGGTGGCGAGATCTCAGCTCACAGAAACTTCTGCCTCCAGGGTTCAAGCAATTCTCCTGGAGGCAGGGGCAATTTCAGTCTTATTCATTTTATATGACTCCTAACATAGCACCAGGAACATAGAAGGATTCAATAAATACTTTTTGAAAGAATTAATGAAATAATCTTTCCTATTGAAGTTATCCTTTAATGTATATGAAATACAGTAAAGTGATAATACTGGGAAAACTGTTGGTGTAGAAATCTAATGACCAACTTGGCCTGCTAACTTATCGCTTTATTTCTTTGAGCCAGTCATACTTCCTCACATGTAATATGAAATAATAATACTCATCCTACTTCTTATGAAGATCCAATGAGACAATGTTTATGGAAATATTCTAAAAACCATAAAGTACTTAAAAAAAAAAACAAAAAAACCCCACAAAAACAGAGACAGTCTTGCTATATTGCCCAAGCTGTTCTCAAACTCCTGGCCTCAAGCAGTCCTCCCACCTTGGCCTCCCAAAGTGCCAGGATTACAGGTGTGAGCCACCATGCCCAACCTGAAAATTGTACTTTATTAGTTTAAAAAATAATGTGGAAAAGTCATGAAAGGTTATGAGTGATCACAAACTCACTTAAAAATAGTTAAAGATCATATATGTAAAAAGAAGTTTGTGTTTTAAAAAATTATTGGCCGGGCGTAGTGGCTCACGCCTGTAATCCCAGCACTTTGGGAGGCCAACGTGGGCGGATCACCTGAGGTCAGGAGCTCGTGACCAACCTGGCCAACATGGAGAAACCCCTTCTCTACTAAAAATAAAAAATTAGCCAAGTATGGTGGCACATGTCTGTACTCCCAGCTACTCAAGAGGCTGAGGCAGGAGAATTGCCTGAACCCAGGAGGTAGAGATTGCGGTGAGCCGAGATCGCGCCATTGCACTTGAGCCTGGGCAACCAGAGCAAAACTCCATCTCAAAAAAAAAAAAAAAAATTGTTTTCAAAGGGAAATATAAACACCCCATCTGCTTTTTTTTTTTTTTGAGACGGAGTCTCGCTCTGTCGCCCAGCCTGGAGTGCAGTGGCTTGATCTCAGCTCACTGCAAGCTCCGCCTCCCGGATTCACGCCATTCTCCTGCCTCAGCCTCCCAAGTAGCTGGGACTATAGGCGCCCACCACCACGCCAGGCTAATTTTTTTATATTTTTAGTAGAGACGGGGTTTCACCGTGTTAGCCGGGATGGTCTCCATCTCCTGACCTCGTGATCTGCCCGTCTCGGCCTTCCAAAGTGCTGGAATTACAGGCGTGAGCCACTGCACCTTTTTTTTTTTTTTTTTCGGTCCACTAGTTTTCATGCAATCTCCTACTTTTTTTAATAACAGCTTTATTGAGATGTAGTTAACATACCATAAAATTCACCCTTTTAAAGTATGCAATTCAGTGGTTTTTAATACATCCACAGAATTGCACAAACACTACTGCCTAATTTTCAAACATTTTCATCTCACCCCAGAAAGAAGCTCTGTACTTATTGGCAGGCACTTCCCAAACCCTTCCCACCCTCCCCATCCCCAGGCAATCACTAATTTACTTTCTGTTCCTATGGTTTTGCCTGTTCAGGACATAAATATAGAATCATATAATGTATGGTCTTTTGTGACTTGCTGCATTCACTAAGTATAATGCTCTCAAGTTTCATCCATGTCGTAGCATCTATTAGGACTTTATTAATACTTCATTCCATTTTATGGCCAAATAACAATCTATTATATAAATGGATGTACATTTTACTTATGTATTCATTAGTTGATAGACATTTGGGTTGTTCCTACTTTGGGGCTATTATAAGTAATATTGCTGTGGAACATTTATGTACAAGTTTTTACATGGACATATATTTTTATTTCTGTTGGGTATATACCTAGGAGTGGAATTTCTGGGTCAAATGGTAACTCTATATTTAACTTTTTTAGGAACTGCCAGACTATTTTCCCAAGTGGCTGTAGTGTTTTACATCCTTAGCAGCTGTTTTAGTCTGTCTGGGCTGCTATAATAAAATACCTTAGACTGGACAATTTCTAAATAACAGAAATTTAATTCTCACAGTTCTGGAGGCTGGGAAGTTCAACATCAAGGCCCCAATAGATGCAGTGTCTGGTAACGGCTTACTCTTTGCTTCCAAGATAATGCCTTCTTGCTGCATCCTCACATGGCAAAAGTGGCAAACAGGCTTCTTTTTTACTTATTTTTTTGAGACAGGGTCTCACTCTGTCACAAAGGCTGGAGTGCAGTACTGTGGTTGTGGCCAGTGGTGCAATCATGGCTCCCTGCAGCCTTGCCCTCTTGAGCTCAGGTGATCCTCTCACCTCACTCTCCCAGGTAGCTGGGACTACAAGCACATGTCACCCCACCCAGCTAGTTTTTGTATTTTTTAAAAATAAGTACAGGGTTTCACCACATTGCCCAGGCTGGTCTTGAACCTGGGCTCACGCAGTCTGCCCGCCTCAGCCTCCCAAAGTGCTGCAATTACAGGCGTGAGCCACCCGCGGCCCAAACCAAGCTTTTATTTTTTTTTTTTTTTTAGACACGGAGTCCTCGCCTGCCCCCCCGCCACCAGGCTGGAGTGGCTGCTGGCAACGATCTCGGCTCACCTGCAACCCTCTGGCCCTATCCTCGGGTTCACAGCAAAGCTTCCTCTCGCCTACCACCCACTCTGACGCTCACTGGCGCATTACCCGCAGTTGACACACGGGCGCCACCCACCCGGGCTCCTAATTTTTTGTATTTTAGTAAGCGAGACGGGGTCTTCACCAATGCTTGGGCTCAGGCCTATCCGGAATTCCCATTGGACCTCTCGTGATTCGCTACACCCGTCAGCCCCTCCCAACGCGTTCCTCGAGCAATTACAAAGACGGCGCCACCCATCGCCACCCAAGCTCCTTTTATTATCAAAGCCGCACTGATCGCCATTTAGAACAGGCCACTAATTCCCCAACTTCACAAGAGCAAAGTTCAGAGCACAATAATAACCTCCTAAAGCCTCGATACTCTTCACATACCTATTGCACGACTTTGAGAGCTTGAGTGTCAACAATAAATTTTTTTGGACACAAAACATTCAGACCACAGCAGGCCAGTAAATATTTTAAGCTTTGCAGGCCATGCAATTTCCGATGCAGCTATCCAACTCTGCTGTTGTAGCACAGAAGC